TCGTCGTCCTAATTGCGACGTTAAATAATTCCTGAGGACCGTCCTTAAACTGCCTCTTGATCAGCCAGATAAGTCAGACGTAAGGCTCGTTGCACGTAAGGATAAACAACGGGCAGTTCTGGTCATAAGCATATGCCTTGGGCACAGGGGTGGGACGCTAATGCACACCTTAGACACCGGCGCTTGATAATGCCTACAGGCACATTGGATACACGGGAGGAAGATTCCAATTGAGACTGTTCAGACACAACCATACCCATTGTGCACACATCTGCTCACGTAGTTTATTTTACTTCGATTAGTTGGTTGACAGACTGCTAACACCTCACAGCCAGCCTAGATAAGAACTGTAATGTTCTACCATAGTCAGATCTTTTCAAAGCTTTTGTAAGTGGTTTAGATTATGTGTACAGCCTGTGTAAATGTTGTTGATACCGCTTGAATGGTAGTCTAGGTAACTCGCCGGATATTTGTTCTAATTTTATTTGTTTTCTAAAACCGGTCAGACGCATGTTGCGGTAGGTCCCAAAATGGATTCTAGTGCAGACAGCGTCTGCCTAGCCGATGAGTGGATCAGAGGGTGGTGAAGGTTCAACTGACGATCGAAGGCAGACTAGGCGTGATACGCTTAGCATACCTATAGTGTTCCAAGTCCTGTTACCAAGAGAAGAAAAAAGGCTAAGGGCCGAAGCAAGGGCCCGCAATCTTGAGAGTGTCAAGGAAGCAGTAGCAGTTGTAGAGAGGACGTTGGCGGCAGCAGAAGCTAGCGCAGTAGCAATGGCTACGTCTGCAGCAACCTCGTCTGGTCAGCAGACCAGCTCGCAGTCCATCTCCAGTACATCAGAAGCTGGCACTAGTAAGATGCAGGGCTCGCAGTTCATCTCGCCGCCTCCACGCACCCGGGAGCAGATGGAGCTCTAGCAGGTAGAGAGAATCCGCTTGAGGCTAGAGGAACTTAAAAAGGGTATTGAAAGGGAGAATGAAATGAGAAATAGAAGTGTCAAACTCGAGGGAAGAAAGGCAGACAAGGCTGCGTTAGAGGGGTTAGATGACTTGGCCCTTGACAACACGACAAGGATTCTCAAGGAGAGCATCCTGCCCATACACGCATACATGGACAGTAAACTGTACGCTATCCAGGACACCCTGGACCAGATCCTGAATGCCATGCACAGGCCAGGAGTCGGGCCAGCAATTTTGCCATTGCTGCCAATCTCAGCGATGACAGGCCCGTATCCGCCTCAGTCTGGTACCACACCAAGCAGTACATCAGCAGCAGCAGCACAGACTGCTGCTTCTTCATCTCCTGGTCCAGCGGCTGGAGCTACACCACAACCGCCACCTATCCGACCAGTGGGACAGCAACAGCCTTGGTACCCAAAGACCCCATTAAAACCACCCTCAACCTTCTCAGGAGATAAGAAGGATAAGGCTCTCGACACTTGGTTGAGAACGGTACCAGTGTCGGTGAGGATAAATCTCAAGAAGCAATGATTGCTTCTGAGAACAAGCCTCGCCGACAGTCCACGTAGTAGGTAAGGGAACGTGTCTGGGTCAAGGCTAGTGAGTTGGGACACGAATTCGGCAACCCTAGAAAACTCATGCCTCAGTATTTCGGTCTCTGGGAAGTCTTGGATATTGTGGGTAGTGAAGAGGATGGTCCCCTGTACTTAATTCATATCCCTGGTCACCTACGCACTTACCTTGTGTTTCAAGCCTAGAGGATGGTCCCTCGTACGTAATTCGTATCCCTGGTCACCTATGCACTTGCCCTGTGTTTCACGCCTCAAAGCTTGCACCTTTTGCTGAGACAAAACAGTTCCCATCAAGGAGATCTATGCTGCCCCCAACCATGGATGGTCACGTGGACGTCAACGATATCCTGCAGCACAGAGACATGCCTGTTCCCAAGCCAGCTGGCAGGGGTAGACCGTCGGCAAGGGTAGACCGCCTAAACCTGTGAGAGTGTACAGAGTGCAGTTCAGGCATCATACTGAGCCTAAGGAAGATCGATGGTTTACAAAGGAGGAACTTGTCAAGACAGCTCCTCAGATAGTGGCCGAGTATGAAAGAAGATTGAAGGGGAAGGCACCAGCATGAGGCATCTCAGCGGACTTTCGAAGCTAAGGGGGATGGAATGCGAGGAATGAGCCCTCGTGGGCCCCTTATCAAACATGCACATGTTCTGGGCAGAGGGCCCCAGCAAGCCAAGCGCCCGCCCTACGCGAAGGCGGGCCTGAATAATCACCAGAGGCCAAAATTTGTCATTTTTCATACGTTGGTACTCAGGCTGTTGCAGCCCGCCAGTTGGTTGAATGGACGTGTGAGCCTCCCTAAGTTGTGTCGAACAGTTTGGCCCTGGCCATGGCAGTTGCGCCTGGACACATGCACACAATGCAGGGCCGATACATCACGAAGTGGCCACAAGCCTACGCAAAAGCAGCATTGTCGATGTACATACCCTAGGTCCTGTGCAAATGCAGCAAACGGCCCAAGTCCGAAGACTCAGGCCGTGCCCAACTGTAAAGGGCCCAAGCCCTCAACTGTAGCAATTGGGCCTGGGCGCAATTACTGGGGCCCGACCGGAAGCTACTGGAAGCTTCCCACCCAGGCCACACGCAGCAAAGCAGGGGCTGCCAATTCCATATAGGAAGGAGGGCAGCCAGGGGCAGGCATTCTAGCCCACGCAGGCAATGCGGTCACGCTGTTGCGTTGCTGTGTTAGAGGCTGCGTGTTGTGCTGAGGTCAGAGCGTGTGCGGGCACGTCTGTGGTGAAGAGGGGTGTTGCTGGGCAGCGGAGCGCAAGCAGCCATAGTCGGGCTGCAGGGTTCTAGGGGATCGGTGGTCTTCAGGAAGGAGGCGAGTGTGGGTGGATTGGGTCTGATGAGGGGAAACGAGATGCGTACCTGGTACATGAGAGAGGTCGGCTACGGTGTTGACGTCATGTACATTGGTCTTCGAGAGTCGAAGTGAGCCTGTTGCGAGAATGCTGATGTAGGTAGGATAGTCGAGTAGTGTCGACTCCGCACTAGGCGCCAGACAGAGAGGAGCGACTTTGGATACTGTGTTGGTGTGGCCTGAGGGCTTGAACGTTGGCTAAGTACTTCATTGTATTGCTCTTATTTGGATGAATCTCGGTGCATATGTGCTCTCTGCTTGTACACGACTACTTGGACATCTGTGTGATTTCGCAACTTGGTTTTCTGTATATCATTCCCACACATATTCCTTGCACTTGCCTTTCTCCCAAATTTTTCCCCCCCATCCCCCTCGGGCCCCTCTTTTCCCTCCTCCACCATAGGTTCCCTGCCTGTGATCCCCGCTCCTCAGCCTGTGCTCCTGACCAACCCGTCAATCACCGGGCAATCATAACCCAAACCATACACAAAGAGACAAAACGATGGGATAAGAAGAGGAGGAACATATCAAGAAAACCCACATCAAACTTCCGTACCCCCATGCATCGCTACCCAACCGACAAATGCCACCTTTTATCAATATATCAACTAGCACAGAAGAAAGGGGGACAGAGTCCTCTCCTATGAACTGGATACAGCTAACAAGTCGAGAGGTATGTCCAAACCACCCATTTCTGCAAGCTTCTCTCCAAGAACCTGCACTGATTGGCGGACGGCACTGCCTGAACCAGCTTGCCAGGCCTAACGCCCAATCGTAGAATATAAGGAACTGCCTCGCGGCTATGTTTATGACCAGGTCCATGTTTTCCAAGCATAGTCGTCGTGACCACTGCAACGGACATGTGATTCCCTTAAATCTGACTAAGGGCGGAAGAGAAACAGCGGAAGAAAAGGACAGACCAGCACCCAAAAAAAACAAAAAAAAAATGAAAAGGGCAACAAAAGAGAGAGAAAGATACGTTGCCTTGTTGTGGCACATTTCCCTCTTTGACGAGAAGTGGAGACAGAGGAAGAAAAGGACAGACCAGTACCCAAAAAAACAAAAGAGAGAGAGAAAGAAAGGTTGTGACACATTTCCCTCTCTGACGAGAAGTGGAGTACAAGAAAATGGAAAGCGGAGTCACAGGAGCAATGAGCCCAGACTTCAAACCAACATCTCAGGTCGCAATGCGTACACACTTCAGCACACGCGCGATGGAAAACCAAACACATGATACAACGACCTAAAGTACTCCAGAATATCACAGAATTTCTGCAGATATAACGACATAAAAATGTCGCTTACATTTCCCAACATACGAAGCGGATAGAAAACCAAAGACGTAAAGCATAGGAAACAAACCGACCAAGGAAGGAACGTACTTACCTGGACGTGAAGGAAGAACAGAACAACAAATGACGACCAAAAACAAGTCAGTATCAAAAGACAGCGGAGTTATAAGCGAGTATCAGAGCGAGACGGACCTCCGGCGGAGAATAGAATACGGGAGTAGCACGCACGGTATGATTAGATATGATGGAAACAGCTCCGGATTGAAAGCATGTTGGAAATCGACGGCAACAGAGGCAACACAGAGAACGACTGCGGGAGATCCTGAGGATGGATGATGAGTACACTGCAAGGATAGGGAAAGTGGTGAGAAAGTACTGGGAACGTACTGAGGATAGTGGCTGGAAGGATTACCTGAGCAGTGAGGTAGAAGGGTAATCGCAACTTGGTCGCATGCCATGGACATTACGTGTATGCTGCGAAAGCAAAACCTCGCACGTTTTGTCTACATTTGCAAGTGTTTATCTCCATGCACGATGCTTAGAACTTGCGGGCGGTACCCGTACTGATCGGCACTGAGTAGACCTGAACACTCATCTATTCTGCCATCACTTCCTTTATCTCTATCTCATCATCTGTAATCTCTTTCACTCTTGCTTTCATGTGCTCGTGATTGGCGATTTATTGGAGAGTACTGTAGCGTGGAGATTTATCAGCGTATATATTTTTTGGAGATTCTGCTTCACATAATTTGTGGTAACTGTAGACGATCACCGACATATTGTGGATTTGTCCCAATTACAAGTACGAAGGCTGCCTACCTGACGTTCCCAAACTTCAAGGAAGATGGCGCGTTCGCGATCATCGTCGGACAGGAGGCGGCGCACATCGAGTGTGGTTTACGGCGGAGATCAAGAACTCCGAGGGATAGAAGACATAAGTCAAGATCACCATCGGCGAGAAGAAGAAGGGTGGAGTCAGAATCTCCAAGGCGATTTTCAAGACCATTGTGGGAGCAAAGATGGAATGATTTCCCCCCACCAGGAAATCGAGTGTGGTTTACGGCGGATCTGAAGGAGGAGATCTTCAAACTCCGCCGAGAGATGGACAAGGTTCTCAAGACACTCGAGCAACTCACTCTGAAACTAGGTGAAAAGAAGATAGCTCCTCCAGACAAGGAAGACACAGCAAAGAAGGCTGAGCTAACTCCGAACGCGCTTAAATCCATCATTGATAAAGCACTGAAGCCAACAGAGACAAACCAAGGAGGACAAAATCAAGCTGGTCCAAGCGCGGCCGGTCAGAAGAAGGCAGTTGCGAAAGACAAAGTAGAGAAGATGGTATCGGAGGTGCAGAAGGATGTCAACGACCTGAAGCTACTCAAGTATGATCTGGTGGCCGTGAAGGGCACGTTACAAAAGATCAATGAACCAACTTGTACCTGCACTCCGATTGTCTCATCTTCAGTTCATCCGAACGGATATGCAGGGACAATGGCTGGACTACCAGCTTCAGTACATGGCAGCCGCAGCATCCCGAGCCGGAGTATGCCAAGCAAAAGTGCACCAAACAGAAGCACATTGGGACGCATAATCCCTCCACACCCCAAGAAGGGACGAACGAAGATCAAGCGGAAGGTGTCTGCAGCTAAGTCAAAGGCAAAGCGGAGTATTAATTTCGGAGTGGAACCAATGACGGACACTCAGCTCCTTCGTCTTCACTACATGGATCGGAAAGATCTATACAAGATGCACGACATCAGGTACAAGGACAAGCCGCAAGCGATCTCAGCATCGAGGCAGGTTCCGGGATTGATCGCCTACAAGGGGCGAGACTTCAACCGGGATTCTGATCTTGAAACACGGATCACGCCAGATCCAGACAACATTAGAGTGTCCAACACAACTGACGACGACACACATGAAGACAATTACGAGAGCCCCAGTTCAGGATCAAGCGGGAGTGATGAGTATGACTCATCCGACACATCTTCGAGCGCCGAAGATCTGTCGGGAAGGTAGAAGACACCTCAACATCAGGCAACCTCACCACGGCACAGAAGTGGGAACAGATACACAGATTATCAACTAAGATTGAGCAACTAGTTAGTACAGGGAGAATTAGCGAATGTCACGCATACAATAGAAGGTACAGACTTCTATTTATCTCACTATCATTGGACGGACAGATACCATGGGCAGGCCGACTAGTTGATCTCTGGTAGCGCAGACTCATACAGTTGATACGCTACTTACATCATCGTATAGTGTGTATGTTCTCGTTTCACCTTGGTGTAGACATATGTACGTGGGGAAGACAGGAAGACAGCCCAACAAGAGATGGACGGAACACATAAACCTTGCCAGAAATTCGAATAGAGAAGCACAGCGTAAATTATACAGTTGGCTGCGCAAATTTGGTTGGGAAAAGTATGTTCTGATACCCATTTGGACGGGAGTGAGATCAGAAGTGACAAAAATGGAAACAACCCTAATTAAGAAACTGAATCCATTCCTGAATACAAGGGGAAAAGGCAGAAAGACTCGAAAGAAAAAAAGACGAAGAAGAGGAAAAGGGAAGAAGAGCAGAAACAAAGAGGTTAATCAAAATATACCTATTTTGTTTAAATCAGTTCGATCGGGTTACACTACGAAGTCAACATCAATACTACAGCCGAAAGCAATGATTTAGTGCATAGTTGGAAAGTTATGGAATGAAAAATGGAAAGTGATTAAACGAACATTCGGATCGACAATAATTGAAATTGAAAACACAAAGTTCCAGCTAAAAGAATGCAGACAACGAATCGAAAATGGATGTACCTTCTGTGTGATTCAACTGGTGCAAACGGGACCGAAAACGAACAAACATACAAATATTCTGATTAACTGCTTGAGGGCACCATCGAGACGGAAGGAACTTTATAAAATGTCGTTGGATGAGATACTTACTCTTTTGTCGAAGGTGGGATCGATTACCGGGAAGAAGCAAAAAGGAACAATTAAAGGCATTTTCACACCGATTTCAAAAAAGAAGTTTGCGTTCAATATCAAGAGAAGGCTAATATTTAAGATTCCATTTGCTGCATGCATTAATCTGAAGCAAGTAAGAAACACAGCAACCAAAACAATCCTAGAAAACGTTAGTAATAACAATTTGGGAAAGGATATGACAGCTCGAATGCATGTAATGTTTAAAAAATCAAAGACAATCGGGAAAATGTTACACAATCACAGGCAGGTGCTTACACAAGCACCGAACTGTAATTGTGCAGTTTCCCAGCTTCCAAAAATTGAAAACCACATTGCTGCAGATTAAGTGAAATCACAGATAATCAGCTCTTGCGGAATGCAAAAAAGTACCCCATATGAACGAAAGAATTGGAAAGGATGAAATTCGAAAGACAATCATCACTATCATTGCAAGTATACCACCATCGCTACGGAAGAAAAGAGAAATTAAAATTGATGTCTCTACGTGCATCGAGAAGAAGAATGATGAAGAATTTTTTCTTGACATATCTGAAGTATGGGACGTAAAGAAAAGATTGACAAAATTTATCCTCTCACCATTGTATAGAAATCCTCGGGAAACGTTTGTGGAATGTCCTAAAACCTGGTGCGAAAATACACGCAAGTTCTTTCTGGAGTCAGAACACTACGAAATCATACAACGAACTGAGTCTGAGATCATTCAATTGGCTAAAAACACGTATCATGGATATGGGTTGAGAAAAATCGCAGAATGGGATGAAAAAGGATCATACGGTAATACGTACACAATTCCAAAAAACAAGGACGTCACCAGGCGACGACCAATCGTGCCAACATACAATGAGCCTTCCCGAAAAGCATCGAAAGTACTATCAAGGGCAATGAATTTCATATGTGAAGCATTGAAAGTGGGCTTCTCACTACAAGGAACGAACCAACTACTACCTAAACTGAAGAAATGCAATCAAACAGCAAAAGAAACATACGGGGATATGGCTACGATGATTCATTCCACATATGACGTTAACGAAATGTTTTCGAATCTTGACCATACACATATCTTAAACGCCATGGAATGGATGCTAAAAATGGCAAAAAAGAAACGGAAAACCCACTAATGTTACAAGATGAGGAGAAAGTACATGAACTTTGGAAAAGCAAACGGAACTTACAGGTGGAGAGAAGTAAAAATCGAGTACCTAATGGATTTGTTGTACTATGATATCAAACACGCATACTTCAGAGTACAAGGAACATTATTACGCCAAGTAAAGGGCGTACCAATGGGAAGGGGCTCTAGCCCGCCCATTGCAAACATGGTATGCGCGCGTTCGACGAGAACAGGTGGTGCTCACAGATTGGAGTTGATAATAAACTCATCCACGGTATGCGTTTTGTGGACGACGTCATGATGATCATCATTGCAAGTAAAGAAGACCAAACGAAAGAGTTGGAATGTCTAAAATCGTTTCAATCATGCTACCACCAATCTCTAAAACTTGAAATCACATCAAACAACGAGAACACGGAATGGACATATCTGGAAACAAGGGTGACAAAATCAATCAACGAACCCCTCTTGAAGTGTCCACATCGACTGAAAAATGAGGCAACACTCCAAGAGGGGTTATTAAGCGCTCTCTCTCTCAGGACGTTGCGGCACTTCAGGAGTGCGGGTTCCGAAAGAACCAAGAACATTTCATCGAATGATAGCTAACACATACGAGACGGCGGATCTGCCGCCCGTGATTGCCATGTTCGAACGGGAACTCCGACTCATGGATTACCCATGGAGGATAACCCGCGCCGCGATACTTGCATTTATCCAAAACTGCAGGGACACGGACGTCCGAAATAAATTCCAGGAGTACCTGGAAGAGCAAGAAACACCATTCGATATAAAATCGAAAGTACGAAATGATTTCTTACAAGGAAATTCGCATGACTTGGAATATAAAAAACACAAATCAAACATATAATTCCGAACGGAACAAAAATAATTTCAAGGAACGAAAAAGAAAAAGAAGCATACATGACAAAAGTACTCCAGAATATCATCGAATTTCTGCAGATATAACGACATAAAAATGTCGCTTACAGTTCCCAACATACGAAGCGGATGGAAAACCAAAGACCTAAAGCATAAGAAACAAACCGACCAAGGAAGGACCGTACTTACCTGGACGTGAAGGAAGAACACAACAACAAATGACGACCAAAAACAAGTCAGTATCAAAAGACAGCGGAGTTACAAGCGAGTACCAGACCTCCGACGGAGAATAGAATACGGGAGTAGCACACACGGTATCATTAGATATGATGGAAACAACTCCAGATTGAAAGCATGTTGGAAATCGACGGCGACAGAGGCAACACAGAGAACGACTGCGCGAGATCCTGAGGATGGATGACGAGTACACTGCAAGGATAGGGAAAGTGGCGGGGAAGTACTGGGAACGCAAGGTATATATACTGAGGATAGTGGCTGGAAGGATTACCTGAGCAGTGAGGTAGAAGGGTAATCGCGACTTGGTCGCATGCCATGGACATTACGTGTATGCTGCAAAAGTAAAACCTCGCACGTTGTCTACATTTGCAAGTGTTTCTCTCTCTCTCTCTCTCTCTCTCTCTCTCTCTCTCTCTCTCTCTC